ACCCCAGATAATGTATCCCACTCTAGTTTTTTATCTGTTTTAAGAACTTTTGGAAATTTTGCACGATTTGTTCTAACTATTCCACAAGCTCCAAAATTTTTATTGCGCAGGTATTGAAAAAGACTAATAGATGAAAAAAAGTTGTCCATATAGATATTAAAAGATTTATTTAAGGGTAATTGGGAAACAAGATGATAAACTTCATTTCTGACTTTATTTAAATTAGAAATTTGTTTTACTTTGGGATGATTTTGGATTCGTGAAGTAAAAATGGAAGCATATGTGTAACCTGCATCACAAAGAGATAGAATCTTATATCCCTCCGGTGTGGGCTTGTTTTTGATTCTTACTATATGCATGCTACGACCTGAAAACCGTACAACCATTTTATTGATCGATAAATTAGATGATGGAATACAAATTAATTTGGAAATTGTTTAAATATAGCTTGCTAGCGGGTCTAGTTTAGAATACCAATACAAAGGCGGGACATTACAGTCAGAAATATATATAAACCGTTTAATCTAAATTAAAAAAAAATTAAATAAAAAAATTAATAAAAAAATAAATAAAATTAAAAATTTAATAATTTTTAAATAATTCGAATGTAAAAAAAAAATTTATTAAAAAAACGTACTTGCTCAAAACGAAGTAATGACATAAAAGTTGTTATTTTGTGCTCGGGAAATCTATCATCTCTATTCCAGTAATCTCTAATACTAGGTAATTTAAAAATACCAGTATATATTAAAATCGCTAACCAAATTTTAAGTTCTCCTACAGTTAATTTTTCCCATCTACAACCTTCCTCTGCACCTTTTATATAGGCATATTCATTAGTATTCTGGACTATCGTGCTTATTTGTTCAGATGAAAAAAAGAGGCTAAAAATTAAATATGGCGATGATAATACAAATTCATATTTAGTAGGTAAGTTTAAAGTAAATTCATGTGTTGGGCGCAAATGTTGAAATATATTAAAAGAAGGGGGAGAAGGAAGTTGTACATTTTTGACTTCATAATTTTGACTATTACCACTGCCACGACCACGACCACGAGCACGACCACGGCCACGACCACGACTACGAGCATGACCACGACCATGACTACTATCATGGCTTTCAATTCTTTCATCTTCGAGTTGATCATCTTGAGCATCATAATTTTCGTCTTCGTCTGATTCATTTTGCTCATAATTTTCATGAGTATTACACGATAATTCAACAATATATTCGTAATCATCGTTCTGTTCGTCAGAAATTGAGGTTTCCATTAAAAAATGCAATAAAAAAATTTTAAGAAAAAAAAAAAAAAAGTTTTGAATAAAAAACGTCTTACATGGGAAAATTTTAAAGAAATTCTTAGACGGCGCTTTTTGAAACAATGGGTAAGTATTTAATTAAATTAATTAATTAAATATGTTAACAGAATGCAAATCAATATTTAACTAATGCAAAAAATTGATTGGACGATTTTTGTAAAGAAATATAAATCGATCTACATCCAAATTTAGAAATCGCAGGCAAATTTGCCTGCAAAACCGTTTAAGGGATAATAAACAAAGTCGGAAATTCATATGTTTTTTATACTATAAGAATGGGGCTTGCTTACATATTAACATATTTTTTTATTAAGCAAACCTTCTTTTAGCTTATAAGAGCTAATGTTTCTGATTCTAATAGTGGTAAAATCATCAAAATTGGTTGGATAGATCATGAGATATGAGTATTTTTAATCGTTTACTATAGGGTTTTTAATTAAGAAACGGAGCACATGGCATTACACTTACTATATAAGGTAACTAGTAAATGCCCGCCGATTTTTTTACTATGAAATTTGTTCCTTTTAACTGCGGACTGCCAATTAAAATTTTAAATTCATTGTAAAAAATCGTAATGGGCACCTAAATTCAGGATAATCGGTGATATATTTCCTAAATTCGTTTTTGTTACTGAATAAAATGATTCGAATTTTTAATCAATATTAACTAAATTCAGATTACGCCTTTTCAATGTTTATGCGTATGGAGCGGGAAACTTCTAAGAATGTAAATTGTTTTTGTTTTATTACATATGCAAAACTTTCCAATTCTCTGTGTTAAGCAATGCTAAAAATAGTTCCATTTTTTCCCATCTTAGAATAAGTCAGAATTATATTTAAAATGAACGTCTCATGATTGCATATATTCCACCGATGTTTATAAAAACCCATTTATTCCTACCTTGAGAATAAATTAACTTCCGTAAGTAAAAACTATCAAACATGAAAGCTCTCAATTTTCTCTTATCTATCTTGATCGTCTTTGCTGTTGTTGTTCGTGCAACCGAAGATTATGATGAAAAAAACCTTACATGTGAAAAGCTTTTCAATGTATCCTCTTGCAGTGATTGTCAAAAACTAATCTTTCACGATATCAAGCAAGATGAAAATGATTGCCCAGCACCCATTAGATTTATTAAAGAAGTCGTCAAAGTATTTAAAGAGTCTGGCAAAGAAAAGGCTGAACCCTATAATACTACTTATTTCAAGAAAGGATTAGAAAGTTATTGTGATCAACCATTCAATTGTAATCCTCGAACCGCTGAAAAATATTGGACAAAAATTGAACATGTTTGTGCTAAAGAATTGAGTTATAAAGTAGATTGGAGCAGTGACCCTAGAAAGGTGGATAGAACTACGCTTCTGGTCTATGGCACTTTATTGAGTTATTATTTCGGAATTCCTGAACACCATGCTTATTGCTATAAGTCTCCGAACTCTGATGGTATATAATCTTACTTACACGTATTATCTTGATGTTACGGTTGATGCGGAAATTCAAAAGTTAGGACTTTAATAAAATAATATACTATAAATAAGAGTCCAAAATTTCTGCATATGCATCAGCCGCAGCAATTATTAATGAATTAATACAATTTCTTTTAATTATATAGAATTGTGCGTGGCTGAAATTTACGAGAACGTCTTGGAGTATGTCAAGAAAGCCACTAAAGAAGATCCGAACCCTATTTTTTCCTTAGATTTCAAATACGTTTTCAAGAGTGATGGTACGAAAATACCCATTCCTAAGAAACTTTTATGCGATGAAGAATGTTACGAAACAGTGGTTAAAATGTACAAATCTTGGATCAAACATTACAAATTAAGTCCCAAAGTAGTCGAAAATCTTTTCGGTTCTGAAGATGCATTTATTGACTATATTAGTTGTAAAGCCGATGATAAACGAGATGTTGTCAGAAGAACATCAGGTTCTTACTTATCACCTCTTCGTCTTCATTCTTTAATTAATTGATTTCTGTTTTAAATTATCTTTGAATTTGTGGATGGTCTTTAGTAAAAATATTTGTAATTAGTGGTAGTTATAATTAGTGATTATTAATGAATTAGTAAGAATATACTTTGTTTGTATCCCCTTTAAAGTTATAATACATTATTCAATAAAGTTTAATCAAATAATTTTATTGCATCAATATAAAACATTTTATTTTTCCTATACCTTATATTCCATTTAATGGTGCATGATTAATAATTGGTGAATCTATATTGTCGTAACTAATTATATTGACATTTAAAATTATATAGATGTAATTTTCTTTCAATAGTTAAACCGTTTTACTTTTTAATCAGTATTGCATTTGTTCTCTTAGCGTCTTGCATGCAAAAAATAGAACTACTTTTGCTAACTTCTAAAAGTAATTTAACTTTCTCTTCGATTAACGCGTAGTAACCTTTACGAAATGTGATTCATGTTTCCTAACTAGGCTTGGTATAGGATAAACTTTCAGTTTAGAGCCGAATAAATAAATATTAAAATATTGATAAATATCGTGCTTAACCTAGTCAAACTGAATTTAAGTTAAAAGAAAGTTCCATTAAGCGAAAGGGGACATAGTATAAATGAATAAGGTATCTGGTAACACATATACAGTATATAGTAATAACGTTCAAAAAATCACTATCATCATAACGTAAAGTTATTTTGGCCCTTAATCATAATGTTTTTCAAAATTTGGACCTTATATAATTATTTTCGCTTTGGGCCCTTACTTATAATTATCGGGCCCTTATATGTAAATTCACCTAAAACTAATTATGGATCACTTTACCAATTACACAAAACAATTTTCTTACGGAATATCCAGAATTGACAACTCCATTCCATTCCATTATAATTGGATATCTAGCAAAACAACGGATATCCTTTGGCGGCTTCTTTACAAAGCCCTTCCACTAAGCTATCGCCTAAGACACATGTCGCAACAGATAATGGTAACTGTACGTGGTGTGAGGGGAAGCTTCAAACTATTTAACACTTTATTCTTGAACGTCTGATCAGTCAACAGGTTTGGAACTTAGGTATCAAATGCTAAACAGCATTCATAATATAACAATACCCACCTCTCTCAAGGATATTATTCTCCCTACCCAACTTCTCTCAGCATGCAATCAAGTGGTTAAACATTAGCATAGTCTATGAAATATGGTGTTTATATTCCTCCTCTAAATGGGGCAACAATACAATCAACACTTTTAATATCCCAGCCATTATTACAAATCATCTAAACAGAGAACTTACTGGTCTTCGATCGACCTTAAGATTTCTCAAAAAATTGTAAATAATAAGTAAAATCATTATCGTAGATTTTAAATAAAACGCCATAAGTGCACCTTATATTTTAAGGTAAATTCAAAAAAAAAATTACGGATCTGTCACGTTTGTCGCTGTAATAAGAAACAATAGAGGGATAAGTAATAATTAAGATTTATACATATACAAATCATTACAGCATTATTAGTATTTGTTATGGCTCTTCGGTTTGCTTATTAAATCATAGTGTATATAATAAGTATCTTTCACACCTCCATGTATTCGTAATTGAATATTCATCATTCTTTTTACTAAATCATGTATTCGTAATTGAATTATTATCATTCTCTTTTACTAAATAAATAAAGATATATATATATATATTCAAAGTACATGATCCATAATGTTCTTTTTTGAATATGGTTTCCAAATCATTCTATAACCTTTTCTTATTTTATCCAATTACATATGCATAAGTGATTCCCTGTACGTATTAGTTGTTAGTTAACCTGATTTCTAAGAGGCAGATTGAGGTTAACATTACCTACTGCTCCTTATATTAATCTATAATTCAGGCCACTATAATATCCAATGAAAATACTGATAAAAGATATATGTCTTCAACTCAAAGTATGTACGATATATTAAAGATATTGGTAAATCGAATAAATCAACAAGATGAAGATGCTGTTATATAAGGCAGCAATTTATTATCATGCAAAAGTGACGTCGATGAAATATTCCAGGTTGGTTATTGTTATTTGAATGGGATTAACGCCAAAAATAAATAACATAAGACATTTATTCATTATCAAAAATCTCTTGGATGTGACACTACAAACATATAATGTTGGATATCATTATCGTCATGGTGTTAGAGTTGAAAGAATAAGCATAAAACTTATTTGCAGAAATTAGGGATAATAGTAAAACAAATAATGTTTATTAGTGTTATATAAATGGAATTGGAGTTGAAAGAATGGAAATAAGTTATTCATTTATTATCAGAAATTTGCAGATAAAAGGATGTTTCTGGACCATATAAAGCCGAGACTTAATGAAATTGTTAAAAAAAAAAAATGTATAATCTGTATAATGAATAAATCATTACTCAACTCGAGGTACATTAAAAAAATCATTAAAAAAATCATTATAAAAAAGATCAAAATAATTAAAATCCCATTATTACCTACTTTACTTTTAACATAGGTACTCACTCTAATCCCAACAAAGCTGTAAATTAAATTTTAATCAAACACAGCTTTTAATCTGATGCATAAAATTACTGGTTTTTGCTTGTGTTACTAAATCTTGATCGTTATGATATGTGGGTTTAAAAGGCGCATTATTTTAATAAAATTGGCGCTAAAAGGATGAACATAAGTCTTTTATTTATTATCAAACATTAACAGGGATATGTTAATGAACAAATAAAATTGGAATTAAAAAGGGTGAATGGTATCATCAACAATCTATGGAGACAGAAGACACTTTTAGAATATACAGGTGACCCCCGTAAATATCAACCTTGTTAATATCACCTAAGTCACAAGACAAATTTTTATAAATTTTTATATATCAAAATTCCCTCATATATATCAACTTTGATATGATTTCTCATTAATATCACTATCAACATGATTTAAAACCAATTCAGATATGTTGATATTAACGAGGTTCACCTGTATATAAAGATAGGGTTTTTCTTAATAAATCATTTAAGACACCGCTTTAACAGATTTCCAGGTACAAGTTAGGCTATTTTTTTTTGATGTAATTAGGGTTAGCGGTTTATATAGATATCAAGAATACAATTTATGAAGTATATGAATGTATCTGGCTTCAACAGCGGGGGAGACTCTCATTTTGTCGGAAATGCACAGGTCTGATTATGATGTAGTCTACCATTCTGCAATCCCGTGATACACTTTTGTAAAAACAAATAACGGGCGCAATTTGCCTATTACAATTACAATTCTTACGTTAGCTTCTAAGTAAACTGACTCGCGTTGTAGATGTATAAAACTATTCACCCAGGTTTTAATGTGTTATAATACAACTTACAAATACAAGAACTTTATTAAAAAAGTTTCTGATAACAAGTTACATGCCCTTTACTAATATTATTTTAGAACCATACGATTCACAAACTATACTATCGTACATATAAAACAACTTCTATTGAATCAAACATCTTTTAGAAAATATATCTATAAACCTGTTCACAATCAATTATAGGCTCAATGTTATAAATAAAAAACGAGCATCAGAGAGTTGATCGTAACCCGATAAAAAAACTAGTTTTTAAGCGAAACTAATTATGAATATAGTGAAAAGCAAAACCCAAGTGAAAAAAAAAACAATAGTAAAATTTGAAAGTGCAAAATCTAGAAAAATGATAAAACTTGATTTAAAAAATTCGATGATTATTATTCTCACTCGAATCAATTTATTTATTGATTAATGGAATAACGCAGTGGAAATTGTGCAGGGCTACGGCTCTTTACATGCACCATCATTTACGTTTATGCTCTGTCATTCAAACTATTTGACAAGATCACAGGGCGAAAAAGAACATCGGGTACATGCATGGCATATCGTAACTAGTTTTTTTTTTCTCTTCATATTTATATGTACGACTGCCAGAGAGCAAGTTACCGAGAGAATCCACCCATACGTCGGTAAACAAGTTCCATGCTACTCATTTTATGTTTTCTCATCAAACTTTAGTTCTTAAATAAATAATTCCTTCAATCAATACATATCATAATACAAATCATCACATGAGTGTCATGAAGCAAGTTGCAGAGCGAACCATCTATACATCGGTTAGCAAGTCATCGGTTAGCAAGTCATTACCGGTAGCTACTCTATTTCTCCTTCTTTTATATTTCCTCATAATTTTTAACTCTACTACCCAAGCAGCGAATGAAAAGATATTTTCGATTTCTAATTTTTTCGTACTGTAGTATTTTATTTGTGCCACGTGACTTGTAATTTACAAATCGATTAGTAATCAATTTAAAAACTACCTGATTTAGACTATCTCCATATATAATATCTATTCCTTTCTTTATTTTCTTCCTAACCTTAAATAGCAACAAGGATGTAATTATGCTCTTGGGGCTTAGTGTGAATATCCTCGTGATACCAAAATAACCCTAGCATGACTGTCATGTTAGTAACGTCAGTTTTGCATCATAACGATAAATTTTGAAATTAATTAATTGGTATTGTATAATCTACATATGGGGTCTTTGCTATGAATTTTTTTTCTAAAAATAGATTTACTATGTTTTTCTTAATAAAAATCTTGTGTAACAATGCTTTTTAATAGCAAAGATCCCATATGAAGTTAACTCCTTCCAAAGACGAATAAATGAAATTATTACTTCTACTAAAAAAGGACTTTGCAAAAATCATAAGCGACATCATAATAAATCTTAACTCCTTCCGAGATGAATACGTAATGATAAAATCATTTATGATACACGTTTACCGCAAAAAATATTGAGAAAGTCAAATGAGTGAACAAAAAAAAATTATCCCTCCCACATTCATGTGATCGTACTGGCACTTTCGTAAAAAAAAAAACGCCCGTAGCTCACCCCCAAAGAATTTTCCGTACGTGATTTTTGGCCAATTAGTCGAAGGATCAATTTTTGAAAAAAAAACGCTAATAATCCTAATAACCCGTCTATAAA